TAGTCGTCGTCAGCCAGTCAGTAAGAACTGTTGTAGGAAAAATAACTGTTTGGGCCAAGGTCAACTAGCTGGTCACGTCAGTTGCGCTCAGTTCGATTTTGTGTACTTAACGCTCTGACATTGGCGAAAGTGCCAAGATCTCCAAAACGTCAGCGGTTCAATAAGTCTGTTCCGGTAAACTCTCACTCCTCAACTTATCACCTCGGGCCTAAAAATTTTGTCAACTGCAGAATAAATATTGTCACGAGCAGAAGCGAAAGTCCGAGATCACATTTTAGGCATGTGTAGGGAATAAGAAGGTTGATCGTGTACCGGAACAATTTATTTATTATTCTAAACTTTCGAACCCGTGCAGGAGTTCATCGTAAGAGATGACGGCAGCAACAGAACGAGCGACAATCCCTTGTCTTTTTCGGTAATAACATACTGCCTATATGATGCGCCGCTGTACGGCTGATGGCTGGGCTCAAGAGAGAGTCCATAAGACTCAACGGAACGAGTGAGTTCCGTAATAACGATCGGTGAGCGCCCCCTACCATAGTATATTCCCGATCAAAACCGACAGCGCAAGGGGCTCGTGACCCAGTGGCTAAAGGCGTGGACTTCAAACTAACAGGTCGCGAGTTTGAGCCTCGGGTGTTCCATAATTCGGGGTTGGGTATGGCTGGCTAACGACGGATAACAAGCCAGAAATGGCCATTCCAGTCTCCCTTGTCTTTGTCGGTAATAACATACTGCTGTACATATACCCTACACTGTTTGTCTTCCTTACAGAATACGGACCCTAAGTAGCTATTTTGCAAAATTGTTCTTCGTGCATCGAGAATAACGGCCTTGTCTCGATGTTGTAATGTCAACTGCGCACGATTTGAATGTGGAATAGGGAAACCTATACACTATTTACCCGAAAATATACCTCTCTGTCAGTCCTGTAATTGCACTGTTCTGGTGACAAGAAAAAAGACACGGCCCAACGAAAGGTAACTATCGTCCGCGCATGTCACGTACTTGCTTATTACAAGAATGCTAGTTCATCCAGAAGACTGCCTACAGAGACCACATTGAACGAAGGTACTACAGCCTGACTCCCTGTTTGGCGACCAATTGTGTAATCTCGCGAGTAGAAACCCTTCTTTTTAACGAATTTTTATTTCGTGATAGATTAGAGGTCGTCACATCGTGCATAGGAAGATAGCTATGAACTCGGTTAGAGCTGGGTTGATCAACTTGTGACGATGAGTCCAAACGCCTTTCCAATAGGAGTAATGCGTCCCTGCCCCCGTCCACCGTTTGTCGAATGAAACATCCATAAACGAGGGGTCTCATATCGTCACCAAACTTGAAGAATGTAATCGCGCTACTTATTTACGCGTCTACTGCACTCTTTCCTTCTCCCCATTTGGGCCCTGTGTCAAAACATGATCAAGAAACCGAAATTGAGGCATTCGTGAACGAATCTGCACCTAGGCGTATAACCACGCCCTCCGGTCCACAACGCACACTGACCAAGACTTTATACACCAGGAAAAGAAAGGAGAGAACAGATTAGAGCTCAAGTTGGCGCGTAGAGAGCCTGCAACTGGGTCAACAATAACCACCAGGATTTAGACCTCAATGATGGTGACGGCTAGAACGGCCAGGACCGCGTCTAGGCGTGCCGCCATACCCGGCTCGGATTTCAGGGGCTGAGAGTTCATGAAGGAAGCATTGTGGTTTGAATCTCAGCCCACCACTCTGTCACTCCATACAAACATATATGCTGGGCTAACTGCGAGATTTAGTTATCCGTCGGTTGGTAGCCATCCAAGCTAGGTCAGAACTAGAAGCATGACACAAGTCACTGGGCAACCAAGCACACGGCCTGTATTCCCAGCGTGGGCGAAACGCATCCAAAGGCAGGTAATCTAGTGCCAGAAAACTGTCAGCACACACAGGGCTGGAAGGGCCATGGTTTGATGAAGCGTGACTTAGCATACGCACACAATTCTTAAAGTTCACAAGGGTGAGAAGCAGCACTCCATTTAACCTAGGCAATCACCCTTCAAGAGCCAAGTAATCAGTCAGTCATCGACTGAGGTGCACTGCACATTTGAATACACACTTCTCACATGCATGGGATTATCAGAGGCCGCACTAAGAATGAGCCGTTCAAATCCTGACTTTCAGTCCACCAGTCCGGAGCTGCACACCAACGCAAACAACTGGGCGGACTCCCTGGAATGAGTTAATGCGTCAGTCGGCAACCTTCCTAGACACGACTCTTGGTGCACCGTGATAGTCTCAGACTCGGATCACACATGCGGCAGAGTAGCCACACGGCGAGGCAGCCGAGGTGTCAATAGTGTGCTTACGTTGTGTGATGATGAGTGATTTTGACGTGTGCCGCTGATGCTAATGGGGAAGGGTGGTGGTGTAGTATAGTCGGCTGTAGTCTACAGCAGGATTTCGTGAGTGCGTATGTGACCACAGAAGCTACGGGCGTATGTTGCTGCTCCAGGCAGGGGTTTGAAAGCCTTGCTGCAATGGATTCGCAAGTGACTGACCAGGTCTATTAAAGTTACCTATCGGTGGTCTGAACGACCAAAATAAATCTCACATGCGACTCCCTTATTTTCCGTTTGAAAATGCAATTCGCTACTGTATTGCTTTCTGCTATATCCCGAAAGAGACATCCATGACGATTTGGAAGGCAAGCAGTTAATGAGCTTAAATGCGAGTCAAGCCTTGGCCTACCAATGGGCTTCTTTTATTGACCTATCTGGTTTCTAGAACTTAGTTGCGCAAACGTCGGCGCGCACTTATTGGCCACTTGAACGCGTATGAGGAGCGTCCAGCTTCTGATTGGCTGTCTTCGTAGGCCATTGCAGTCGACCGCTTTGTGGTGACTTCTGGTTGACTGGTTGTGCTTCCCACTCACGTAGCTCGCGTCGTTTGCTTCGCGGACGACATTTGTTTGCTATCCTCTATCGTAGTTCTTAGTGAGGCGGATTCGCACAGCATCTGTCACGCCCTGTTCCATTTCACTCACCGTGTTCCAATGTCGAGATACTGCCGAGACGACGGGGGACGGTCTCGAAGGCATGGACTGCAGGAGCTTAACAACACGACTGAGCGTGCCACACACGACTTTGTCCCCGCTGCGTGAACACAACGTTCATGTGAACAGCCTGGGGATATCGTGCGTGAGTGGATCATGGAATGTCACATTAGGAGACGGCTGTTGAGACCTAACTCTCATTCCTGAAAAGGACTGAATTATTCCAGCAGTTGGCGCTATTCCAACCCTGGACTCTAGACGAATCGTGATAGGTTCAAACAAGTCTAATTCCTTTTAGAGGATACCTTAGTGTCGGCCTCACTTTTTCTTGCGTCTTTCATACAATAGTTCGGCCGTCGTTTTCGACGACATCCATCGTGTGCTCCATAGCAAGGTGAGAGCCGGAACAGTGACTTGTGCGTGATTTAGTCTATAATGGTAGTAGACTTGCACAGCGTCTACCGCAATCTCTCCTCCTTCCCCACCTGTCAAGACAGAGTCACGAAGACCGAAGGCTGGGGAGGGCACAGGTAGATGGCACGGTCGAGTCCGTACGTTGGCGCTCCACTCCACACCCTCTTGTCCACACAACAAAATGACCAGGTTTTTGATCTAAAATGGGAGAGCGACAGGGGTCTCAGTGTGCGCGACGTCCGCCGGCAGACGTATCTGCCACTGCTGCGCAAATCCGATAACGCCTGCCAGAATCCAGTGCATCAGCTACGTAACCCGTTTGGGGGGAGGGGCACACGTCTTTTATACACCAGTAGACTGTCCGAAACTGTCAGTCAGTTGATGATGCGGTTGGACGCCGTGGGCGACACGCGGTTTGAAGTTCACCTTCTGGACAAGCCAAAAATTCCCATGAAGCATTTTAGAAGATCATTTAACAAGCATACGCCTGCTTTCGATGAATTCTCGTCGGGCCAGTACACTTGAATGGGAACGAGGTACAGAGTGAAAGGTGGGACAGATAGGAGAAATCGATTGCGGTTAGTCTTTTCATGCAAGCGGGATATGTGAGTAGGGTGGGGAGGAGAGGAGGCAGTAAGTGGTAGCGAGAGGTAAGTAGAGCCGTGTCATGGGAGGGGGGGGGAGGAGAACGGGGGCGCGGAAACATACATGCAGATTGTCGATCTTTGACCATGGTAGACGCAAAGCGTGCTTCTTCTGAGCACACAGGATCGGTCTCTGTAGCCTGACGGCAGTCACTTCTGCTCTTGCTAGTAAGATTTGACTCAGTCGCTTGCGACAATTATGTAGGACCTTGTACATCACACAGAAGGCTTAGATGGGATTCAAAAGATGCCCAGGATCAACTGTTTGTACGAGGATGGAGCTGTGTATGCTCTTTACCTCACTTTTCCTCAGTCATGCTGGCAGGTATTCTCGTATTCTTATGGATAGGCGCCAACTTATACGAACAGCAAAGAAGGCCTTCCCCATTAACATCACTGCTATGGGCTTGCCGAAATATGTTCAGCCTCGGTAAGGTGTTAAACGCAATCTCTCGAGTTTTTGGTGATCGCTGACTTACGTGGATTGACACCCGATGTGTGTGAGTTTAGTGTATGCATTCATGCTCGCCGATGAAAAAGTTGCATGCATAAGAAAGGCTGCATTTTTTTAAAATTAACTTTATGGTGGGTCCAGTTAATAAGAGTTATGCATTAACTCAGTTACTGTTAACGAATAATTCATCCAGTTAAATGATTACATCCACGTGTGTTTCCTTAATTTATGATATCATATAAGGGAATCCGCGACCCGAAGGGGTGCTTTTAGTACTGCAACGAATTTGGAGCTCTCGAAATTTTAACCCTGTGCCAAATGACGATAAAAGTACGCATTACATCACCCGAGTCATCAGTGATGGCAATGACAGCTGCGCCGTCGCCAGCGGCTGAAAAATGTTGTGCCGGGGATATAAAAGCCGCGGTGAATTGACAGCGAACGGTAAGAAATGTGGACTTCGTCATTTCTGCCACAACTACTGCCGGTCTTGGGGCTGCTTCTGCTGCTGCGAGTGGAGCAGTCACGGCAAGGTAACATTTTGCTTTGCATGAGAACACCGTCGTAGAGAAGTCGGAGACGGTGTCAGTATTTGCCTGTGCCTTTTTTCGCCACCCATTACGACGTCTTTCTTGTATTTTTGGCAGTTGCTCTACCACAGCCTGATATAACATGGCCGGATGCACGTGATCTTAAAGTGATAGTCAGTCCTGAACCTTTCTACGCTTTGCAAGTACAGTGGCAAACACAGGAGCGAGATTCACTACGCTATCTTGAGGTCGTTCTACGCTGCAACGACTCCGACAAGACTGACAAAAGAACCTCTACAAAGGATTCATTCATAAAATACTACACAAACCCCTGCCCTCAGAGCTATGTCGTTGAGGCATTCTTGCAGACGGTCTTCAATGAAAAGGGAATGCGTGTCGCAAAGGCAATGCCTGAATCCTCAAGTACGGCTGATTTAACTCCCATTGCTTGTTCGATGGAGAAATTTGTTTTAAATAGTTTGCATTTTTGATTTGCTGCCCTATTCATTAAGTGCCAAATACTTTCGAGTGTTCTAAGCAGTCTGTGCGCCAATCAACTCTCAGAACGCATCCTGCTAACGAACTTCATTACGCTTTCACCCTGCTTTAGTATACACTGTCTTTATTCTTTCTTGCCTATTTTAAACTATCCTTCATTTTACTAACATTTCTGTATAAGTGTCCCGTTAAGTATGAAGTCTTTCTACCCATTCCATCTTAGATGTGCTGAATGAATCACCCACGTAAGTATTTTTTGGTGAATATTTTTCTCCGAGAAATTTTTACGCAAATGCCGTCTGCAAGCAGAAGTTGATTTTCAGCATAGAACATGCAAAATTAAATCTCCTGTTCATATATAAACTGACGGAATAAATTAATCAGCGTCGACTTGCAGGAGATTTGACTAAGTGACGACCGTTTTGGGTGGTTTAACACCTCTACATTGGAAAAAGGTAAACCGGCCGTCGATGGCTAACTGCAGAGACTTATCGCTATGGCGCATATACAGTGGGTGGGCTAACTCATAAAAAGTCAGCCAAAATTCCGAAATGCGCTTTCGTTTCGAAAAAAATTGATTCAGCAGAGTTGTTAAACTAGTCTCCATACACTATAATCCTATAATAATTCAGCTTTCTCAAGGTGCCGAATTTCTAGCGAATTTCTTCTCGGCTGCATACAAAAACACTACTCTGCAATAAGACTAACTATGCAGCATGCCTTTTTCTCAATTCTTTTCGATATTATTAAAAGTTTAATTATATTCCATGAAATACATGCTTAAAATATTCAGTTTGTGTTCATTTGATAGAAAATGACATCTTCTTCCGATTTTATACATGAAGGAATTGCATAATTCGGTGCTACAAAAGTTTCTAATTGGGTGATTTTATAATACCGCGAAATAATGATGCATAAAACGGCATCTCTGCATTTACCAATGTGGTAGGTAGAGTTAACAATACTGTTCAAATCCAATGCTGAATTTTATGAATTCCATATAGTCCCCTCTTATTACCCTAGAGAAATGTATGGTTTTTCGTACGCGGAAAATATACGGTTTGTAGGATGGAAACCCTGAATGTAACTGTAACGGCAGATCGGGTTCAAAATTATTCGGTAATAAGAAAAGTTTTTGAAAACCGAACTATACTCTTCCTTCCAGTTTAACATCGGAAGAAGACGTTATTC